ACTCAGCTAGGTTCTGAGGCTTAAACCAAACAGGACACAGTTCTTGTCCCCATGGACTTGGAGCATAGAAGGACACATACATAAGCGGGAGTGATGATAGTGTTTGTTCAGGGGGCTGTGGAGCCCAGAGCAGGAGCAGGGGTGGTGTCTGCCAGGAGATGAGCAAAGGCGTCAGGGAGCAGGTGATGCTGGGCTCACTGTGCAGAGGTGAGTCAGTGTTTGTGAGGGAGCAGGAGCTCCAGGCAGAGGGAAGAGCATGAGCAAAACTGTGGAGGCCTGAAGCCACATCAGGAACTGGGAGAGGTCACCAGGCAGCTCAAACCCCATGGTTTTCATGGATCACAGAGTATGTGGAGAGGAGGGAACCTTCCCACCCTCTGGCTGAGCCACGGTCATTGTGTGCAGTTAGGAATGAAAAAGTATATAGATTTGTGTTGGTTTTGCACAACCTTTGACCTTTCCCGTAATTAACTGCTGGGCCCACTTCTGGCATTGTCTCAGCAGAAGGGAAACCTGATCGATGGATGCCAGGGGTCTGCGGAGAGCAGGTCTCATTACTCAGTCATTACAAACCCAGAGCTTAACCCTGCGCCACCGGAGACAGGGGGCTTAATCCTTCCTGCTAGGCAGCCCAAGAAACTACCTTCCCGTGAGCGTAATTAGCCAACAAACCGGATTAAGATTTATTCATCAATAAGGACTCAACTTCCTAAGCCATACATCTCTCCTAGAATGGTTGCCTGATCTAAGGAGTGCATGGTTTTTCCTAAAGCTCCCAGACAAAGGAGAGGACGTGCTAGCGCCCAGCCAGGGAAGGGGTCTTTGTTAGAGCATTTGGTCTCTGCTGTCTGTGAGGAATGTCTAGAAAAAAATGCCAATTTCAGGGGGAAATGAGAAGACATTTTCAGTAATGATCTCTGAGAGTGGAGAGTCTGGTGCTTTAAAAATCCCTATTTTGAGAAGGTTTCCAGTCCTGATTTTCAGGAAAATGCCCTAAAATAGTATTAAAATGAGAAAGCACTCTGATTCATTACAATAGAATCTTTTAGAAGCTAGGCACCACAGAATAAATTACATATTTTATGGGGCAATGAGAATCAATTTTGAATTAAATGAAAAAAAAAAAATTCATCCTACTTGGGTTCCAAACCAATGTTGTTGGCACATAACCACAGCTATGGGATTGTGTGTGTGCACATGCCATTTTAATATACAAAAAGTAGAACTGTGACCTTTCAAAAATCCCATAATGAGCAGTTCCCCATACTGTTTTTCTCTGCTCTATTGGATACTTGGAGCTGTCTTCTGTTGATAATTGAGTTTTCATTAAAAAGAATTCCAAGCTGGGGAAGGAACAGGGATGCCTGGAATGAGTTGTTGGACTTCTCATCTTCAGTGTTTAGAGCTCTGAAAGCTGGTCAGATCGTTTGTCCTGCCCACTTTCTCTGTTCATATGAACCATCCCTGTCACCACCCCTCAACTATCACCATCCCTCAATCTCAAGGGTAGGTACCGACTTTGGGAAAAAAAATGCACATGACATCTCTTCCCCACCTTTCTCCTTAATGACTTTTTGAAGCATGAAACACTTTTAAAAATTATTTATCTCATGTACCCTGAGAATGTGGCTCCAACAAGCAAGAATAGAGCCCGCATTTGAATGCAGCCACTAGCTGGGAGCCTGGAGACAAGGTGTTTGGATAGAAGGGTGGGTGTTTGGATCAATGAGTAGTATATGGATGGGTGGTGGGCATTTGCATGGATGGATGTTTAGGTGAAAGGAAGGATGGGCATCTGGCTGAATATTTAGATGGATGGATGGATACATGCGTGCCTATTTGGGTGTATGGATGGATGTTTGGCTAAATAAATGGATGGGTGAATAGGTGATTGGATGACTAGAAAGGTGGTCGGCTGACTGGATATGTAGATGGATGGATTTGAGGAGCATATATAGATAAATGGAAGAATGGTTGGGTGGGTATTTGAATGGATAGGTTGTGGGGTGAGCAGATGGATGGAGAGTGGGTGAGTGGATGGGTATTTGTTTTTTGGGGTTTTTTTTTTTTTCCTTTTTGTCTTTTTTACTGACCGGTAATGGGATCGCAACCCTCGGTGTTGCGCCCGCACCGGGGACTGGCAACCAGATCGCAACCCTCGGTGTTGCACCCGCACCGCGCTCAGCCAGTGAGCGGGAACCGGTCTCCACATGGGATCCGAACCCTCGGCGGGAGCGCCGCCGCACTCCCAAGCGGCGCACTCTCCAGTGCACCACCGGGCCAGCCCAAGTGGATGGGTATTTGGATGAACGGATGCATGGCTGGCTGGTTATCTGGGTAAGGATAGGCATGCACACATGCATATATGCGTGGGTGGATGGATGGATGCAGCACAAGTGAAAGGATAGATGGGTGAATGGGTGTTGGGATGACTTGATAATACTTCCTTGGTACTCAGTGTAAATGCACCAAGGGTGAAACAACATGTATAAAGTACTTTGCCATGACTGGCATGTCAGGGGCACTCTAACTTATTAGAAAGGATGTGGGCTTTGTAGACTGAAAGACCTTTGTTCTGATCTTTGCCCCACCACTTACTATGTGCCTTTGAGCAATTCCCTAACCTCTCTGCACTTTAGTTTGCTCAGTCATAAAATGGAGTTAACATACCTACTCCAGACAGTTGCTGCAAGAATTAAAAGGACTGGCATATGTTTCAGGAGAAGATAGCTGCATACTACCTTTTGAGGTACAACATGAGACAGAGAGAAGATTCTTTTACCCAAGCATGAAATAAATGTCCTTTCCCCCAGTGTGATTGATCCATCCTAAGTCATGTATCCACCCAGAGACAAATAGCAGTTGCTAGTGACACATTCTGTTTGGATTAGACTGATCAGGCTCCACCCCCAGAGCTGGGACCAGACCAGCTACCCTTGAATCACCTGCTTAAAGGAAGGAAAGGAGAGCAGGAACTATTTGGAGGCTGCTGGGTCACATCAGATGAAAGGTGATACTCATGCTGACAGGTAGTAGAAATAAGTGACCTGTGGACATGTAACCATGTTGAGGGTGTATAAAAGCCATGCTTTAGTAGTCAGTTAGATGTCTAGGGAGCAGTGGAAGGACCACAATATTCACTGGGATGGGGAACCCCAGTGAGGTGCAGGTCGGTGACTTAAAGGTGGGCTATGTTGCCTTTGGAGTATCTGTGGAAAACCCAGGGAGAGAGGTGGTTGGATTTGGGGTGTCTGGGGCTCTGGAGAAAGGCTAGGGCTGCAAACAGAGGCTGGAAAGTGGTCAGTACCTCTTGGTCTTTATAAACCTATGTGCCCTTTCAATTAACATAAAATCTTACATCCTCCTTTAATGTTATTTACAATTTCTAACTGTATTAAATATCACAATTAAAAATAATTCAGGTGCATTGCAGAATTGAGTCTGCTTCCCAGCTGTTGCAGACAGCCACAGCAGGCAGGTTAGGCGAAGACTGCTGACTCTTGGGCCTTTGGAGACCAGGGCTCCTTTGTTCTTCCCTCGTCGTTGCTGGGTGGGTGGGCACCAGGAGTGGGCCACACAACCCAGACCCTGTACTCTGGTGCTTTGTTTCTGCTGTTTGCACTGGTTATCTCCTCTGCTCTGCAGCATCTCTGTTTGGCAGGTGTCTGGGCAGTGCCCAGTCACCTCCAGAGTCAGGGAGCTCACCACCTCCTGAGACAGCTTCTGCCTTCAAGGCGGGCCTTCCTACCAGTGCATGTTAATTGGTCCCCATGGCTAACCCCCACTGTGAGCAGCTCTGCCCCAAAGGCCCGACCAGTGTGAAGAGAGCATGGAGCTCAATGTCTGCCTGCAGCTGCTCCTTAGGCAGTTGAGGGAGTTGCCAGGCTTGCCTTCAGTCTCCTCTCTTCTACAGACGCCGCATCCGCTCTTCCGTAGCTAGAACCCTGCCTCAAAAATCCCTTTTCTCCCAGGTAGGGGACGGACTGCTTCTTCACGCCCGGTTGCACATAGGGCGGCACTTCTGGCTGTGTCTCAGGCAGGCGTGGCCCAGGTCCTGTGGAGGTCGGGTGGGTGAGCCCTGTGCGAGTCGGGCGTGGGCTCTCCGGTGTGGGCTCCCTTAGGCCCCTGAGCTAGGCTGCACTGGTTTGAATTCCATCTGTTCCACTTCCTAGTATATGACCTTTGGCAAGGTTGTAGCCTCTCTGCACCTCGGTCTTTTCAGTGCTTTTGTAAAATTGCAATAATGAGAATGGTGCCTACATCCCTGAGTTAGTGTGGGGACTGTGAGCAGGACTTGGGTGTAGAAGCGGCTCATTGAATGTCAACTAGGCGTGTTCCTATTATTCCCTGAAGTCTCTCAAATCTCTCTGGAACTCCAGAGCCGATAGCCCTTTGACCCCTAATGGGAAATGTTGAAAAAGACTCAGCAAAAAGGGTGACCTTTACAAAGGCCATCGACCATTGTTGAAGAGACAAAAGCCTTTGTTATAACAAGGAAGCTGGAGCAATTGAAATCGAGGCATCAGACGCTGACATGGAACTATTTGGGGGAGTTAATGGACTTGTCTGTCATTCCACACATTACACTTTTTGGTGATGTACAAAGTAAATTTTACTCGATACCCCCTGCTTCAAGACAGCCAGCTTTCAGGGATAGTAGGCAGCATTCCCACATGCTATTAGTGTTGAGAGGCTTTGGAGGGAGGCAGAGCTAGATGTGAATCTTGCCTGCTTCACTGTGGTAGGAACTGGAAGGCACCCCACACGTAGCCACCCAGCACATAGCCCTGCCCTGCAAGGTGGTGGCCAGCCTTGGTTCAGAGCCAGGATCTTCACTTTTATAGCCCTTGGGTCCCCAGTCCCCAGGAAGGACATCAGTGAATACCTCTTGGGTCATCCTTGATCAGTCAAATCCTGGTGACTTCAGTAGTGGTGGTAGAGGGGACCCCCCCCCCAAGCTCTTCCTCTGATACCTTTTGTGCCCCTCCCTCATTTTGCAGACATTGATGAGTGTGAGAATGACTACTACAACGGGGGCTGTGTCCACGAGTGCATCAACATCCCAGGGAACTACAGGTGCACCTGCTTTGATGGCTTCATGCTGGCACACGATGGCCACAACTGCCTGGGTGAGTGATGCAGCCGTGCCCTACCTTCTGGGCATAGCTTGCCTGTTTCTCAGCTCCAGCTTTCCGAATTGAGGGCTGTGGGAAGGCTTGTCTCTTTTGGCACCTTGTATTAGTTTTCTGGGCTGCCATAACAAAATGCCACAGAATGGTTGGCTTAAACAACAGAAATTTATTCTCTCAGGCTTCCGGAGGTTGAGAGTCTGAAATCAAAGTATTGGGAGGGCTGCAAGGGAGAATCTTTTCCAGGCCTCTCTCCTAGTTTCTGGTAACCTCAGATATTCCTTGGCTTGTAGATGGCATTTTTCACATTGTCTTAGCTCTATGCATGTCTGTCTGTGTGTCCGAATTTCCCTTTTTAATAAGGATACCAGTCATATTGGATTAGGACCCCTGATGACTTCATCTTAACCTGATCATCTGCAAAGACTCTGTAGTGAATTGAATTATGTCCCTCAAAACTCCCTGACGCTTGCATTGTGTCCCCCAAGTTTTATGTGTTAGAAACTTAGCCCCCACTGTGACTGTTAAGAGGGTGGGAAATCCCATTATGGTAATTGAAAGATGGAGCCTTGAAGAGGTGATTGGATTGCAGTACCATGCAGTAGTGAATGGATTAAAAATGGTGGTCAGGGGCATGGTTCTGAGGGCTTTAAAAGAAGAGGAGAGTCTGTCTCTCTCTTGCTGTCTCTCCTCTCTCTGCTTCCACCATCTTGCAATGTGAGACCCCCAGGTCACTGTTGCCACCACCAGATGGACTTTGGACTTCCCAGCCTCAGAAATTATAAGTGATAAATTTCGTTTTTCTTTATAAATCACCCAGTTCATTGTATTTTGTTATAGAACATAAAAAGGACTAATACAGACCCTATTTCCAAAAAATGTCACATTCACAAGTACTTGGGGTTAGGACTTCAACGTCTTTTGAGGGGACATAATTTAACCCATAACAGAGGTGGTTTGCAGACTGTAATAGGAGGAAGAACATCTCATGGTAGAAAGCCCAGGGCTCTCAAAGCAGACATGCCTGTGCCCCAAGCCCTCATTTGCCACCGGCTGCTGGGTAACGAGGGTCACAGCAGCTAGAGCCTATGCAGTAAGGGCGTGGACTTGGCAGGAGCTTGGCCATGTGTGGGTCTCAGTCCCTTGATGATAGAGGGAAGCTGTCAAGAGCAGCTCCCTCCCAGGGCTATAGTGAGCAGTAACTGTTGTAACGTCCAGACAGCTGAGAAGCAGGCCTGGCGCAGGGGGCTCTCAATAGCTGGCAGCTGTTCCTATCATCATGGTGTCTGAGCCTCATCTTCTCCTCTCTAAAATGAGCATGATTATGACACCTACTTTACAAAGCTGTGTTTAAGGATGAAATGACACAGTATGAAGTGAAGTGACTCGCACTTAGTAGGTGCTAAGTAGTCAACGAATGGGCATTGTTATTACTCTAGGTGACTCAGCTGCCTTTTTGTGATTGAACATTTAGATTGTTTGCTTTTTTTGTTCGTTTTTATCATCAGAATCCAGAGGTCATTCTGGGCATAAAACTTCGTCTTTTTTCCTGTTTTCCCAATTGTTCGCTTAGGAATGCTTCCCAAAAGTGGAACTACAGGGTCAAAGGATCATTTGAATTTTTTATGGCTTTCCATGCAGTGCTTTCTAAAAGGGCTCATCTTCCATTGTGCCAGCTGGTTTGTTGGTGCATGGTATAAGAAACTTGATGTCCTGGGTATTCTAGAATTTTCCTGTTAGTGGTATATTAGCCTTAGATTTCCCTACCTGTTTTTGTTTAGTGCAAATTGGATCTCAGATGAACTTGTTATGGGAAACAGATCTGTGAACATGTAATTACACCCCAAAAAAGTGCCAAAACAGAGGACTGGACAGCAGGGTATTGAAGCCCAGAGGAGGGGTGAAAGTGGGGCTGACTCCCCAGGGAGGCCTCTGAAAGGAGTTAGCATTGAGAGAGACCTCCAAAGGTTGGGGAGAAGTTTGCTGGCTCAAGAATACAGCCTGAATAGAGAACCGCAGGCAGCTCCTTGAGGCTGGACTCAAGAGGTAGACAGAGCCTTTGATTACATTGTAAAGAACTGGGACTGTACATTTATTGTGCCAGATACCAGAGTATGTATTGTCCTAGTGTTATCTCATTTAATCCTCCCAAAATGTAAGTGCTTAGCTTTCCCAGTTGTTTGCTTCTTTTCAAGATGATAGAGAGGGTCCATTTTAGTAATTGATTAGTCAGTGAAGGCAGAACTGACAGTCCCTGGGGGGCAACCATTTCAAAGCAGCAGTGTCACCCAGTGGTCAAGAGGACAGACGTGTGATTTTTGGCCAGTTGCTTCACCTCCCCGTGCCTAGGTTTCCTTACCTGTAAAGTGGAATGTGTAGTCCATATCTCATGGGGTTTTTGTGAAGGTTAAATGAGATCATAAATGTAGAGCATGTAGTAGAGTGCCTGGCACCAAACACTCAAAATGTAACTGGCATCGATCTGGTCATCAGCTTCCAGATGGGATGTTTTGATGTGAGCTGGTTTGGCATCTCCAAAACTTTGTGGGGGCCAGAGCCCTCTGTCTATACTCCCTGGGCTGGGTCTGAGACATGGGGTTCTCCTTCTAGCCACTACACTGCTATCTGTGCAGAATCACCTATTTGTAAACACCCTTGTTATTAACTATGACAGGCACACCTAGTGCCTCCAGCACCTGACACCACCAGCCTCCAGACTAATGGAGACAGTGACGTCTGTGTGGGTCTTTGTTTCAACATTGTTTTCACAATGGATTCTTTTTCTATTTGTAAACACCCTTGTTATTAACTATGACAGGCACACCTAGTGCCTCCAGCACCTGACGCCACCAGCCTCCAGACTAATGGAGACAGTGACGTCTGTGTGGGTCTTTGTTTCAACATTGTTTTCACAATGGATTCTTTTTACAGTGATTAATTTAAAAGAACTGGGTGAGACTCCCCCCTCCTCTGCCCCCCACCTCTGAGCACAGATTGCAACTTGACACAGCTCTAACTTGCACATATGGCAGCCAAGAAAAGGCTCTCTGTTGCTCTTCTGCTTTTAGCTGAGGGCAGACCCTTCCCAACAGACTTCTTTTTGTTTGGTCTTTCTCCTTCTCAAGACAAAACTCTGGGTCTAGAGAAGTCAGATGTTGGTTCTCACTGGCTGCATCCTACCCAGACTGACCTTGTGACCTTGGGCTAGTTGACTGACCTCTTAGAGCCTCAGCTCGCTCCTCCGTGAAATACCATAAGCACTAGAGTACCTGGTACAGTGTCAGGATCGTGGAGCTTGGTAAATGTTGCCTGAAACAAATAATGCTGACAGAGAAAGCTGGGCTTGGAGTTTGAAGATTTAGGCTCAACTTCTGGCACCACCTTGAGTTTTATAGTTTGGGACCAGTTCCCCAAACCCTCAACACTTTAGTTCCCCAACTATGAAACAGGTCAGAAGACCTATCTCAGAGGGTCGATGTGATGATTAAATCTGTAAGTAGATGTGTAGAGCCGTGCGTGCAGATGTAAAACTCCATGTACGTGCTGAATATTGTCATCATGTTGTAGCAGAGGCTTCAAGCTGGCAGCCCACAATCCTCACCTGGCCCACAAACATATTTGGTTTATCCCCACAGTGGTGGTGTTTATTGTTATTGAATTATTTGTCAACAGTTAAAAATTAGGGGATATCCCATAAAAATTGATATTTCCAACATCACTCCTGCTTGGCCACAGGCAGCCCGCCCCTCACATTTATGGGACTTGGGCCAGGAGTGCAAATGAAGGCACCAAGTTTTTATCCCACGTGGCTAAATATTTCAAAGTAATTATGAAGCTCCAAAACTAGAAGATACTCTCTCTTGCACATGGACAAATATTCTTTCCTAGTGACCTGGAAGGCTGGACTTGAATTTAGAATTCTAGGATTCCTTGGAGTTTTGTGCCAGAAAGTAGTAGCATGGGCAGTGCCCGCATCCCTCCTCTGGCTCCATCCACACCACAGTGAAGCAAAGGACACCCTAACCTGAATGCTCAAGCTCTGTCTTTTTGCTCAGACCTAAGTGTCATCGGTCCCTCTGAGGACTGGCAGGCTTGGGGCCATTTGGCCAGGAAATTTGTGGGTCCCAAATACCCAGGATGTGGTCTAGAATGGTGGGTATGTGTTCCAGGTGCCCATGACCCCCCTGTGGACTCCTTTCTCCATGGGGAGGGCTGTAGCCTCAGGAGAGGCAGAGCAGGAACCCCCAAAGCAAGGGTCCCAGGGCAGGGGCATCTCTTGCCCACATCTCAGTGTGGTACTGGAAGCAACTGGAGGCGCTGCACTGCAGCTGCCCTCTTTGGAGGGGGTATGTGCTCTCCTGTTTCCCACAATCCCCACCACTCCCTATTGTCACAACCAGTCAGCTTTGGTCATTTAACTACCTGCTTGGAATTGCATTTGTGCTGCCTGACACAGTTTCCAGCACAGGGCCTGCCCCCCATGGATAGTCGGTGGCTGTGAGAGGCTGACTGAGTCGTTGGAAGTTCTCTATTTTCACTGCCTTCTGCAGTCCTGACCTCACCCTACAACTCATCACCCAGAGGGGACAGTTAGGCCCATTTGCATCTCCTGTTGTTTTGTCTCCAGAAGTCTGGGTCGTGAATCTTGTCCGTTTGTAACATTCCTCTCTGAACCACCACTGAATTCCTTAGGGATGATGGCTGGGGTAAAATTCTGATCACCTTAGACATAAACAGAACAGTTTGAAAGTGTTCTTAGTTAGTTAGTTAGAAATGAAGCTGATGGCTTAAGGGTTATTTTCTTGCCTAAGTTTTCACAGTTGAACCTTTTCTTTTCTTTCGAGTAAATGAGGTTATTTTCTTGTGGAGATGGCTTGCCTGTGACTGTGTCCTGGAGGATGGCCAAATCTGTCCTCTGGGGAGAAAAACCCTCTCTCTGTTTGACATCTTTATTGAGGAATTTCTCAAATATAACAGAAAATGACACCAGAGGGAATTGA